TTAAAAAAAAAAAAAAAAAAAAAAAGAAAAAGAAATACTAGAAAACCTCCCTGATAGTAGGGAGCCTCTGGATGAGATTCTGGCAGAGTAATGCATTTCTAGCTTTTCTCTCTTCCACCGTAAACTGAGGCAAACGAGAGGTGGCTGTATACTTATTAGAGATACTGTGCTAAGGGCTTCACAGAGATAACCGTCACAACTGCCCCCTGAGGTACTCTTATTTTACAGCTAAGAATACTGAGGTTCAGAGAGGTTAAGGGACCTGCGCAAAGTCACAGAGCCACAGAATTTGAACCTAGGCTGGTCAGACTCCAATGCATTCTTCCCAGGCCACAGAGGGCTGTGGGGTTCCAGCCGGCAGATGGCTCCGTTAGTTCCTACCTCTGGATCCCTTGGCGAGCATTGTATTGAGAGCCTGGTTCTGCTTCCTCAGGAAACAGATCTCTGATGTCAGAGAATTATGCAGCTCTGATCCATAAGCCAAACCGTTCGTAGAACCTACAAAAACACACATGAAAAGTGATTTATGGATAGTTGCCAGGTCAGTATGCACGGAACTTTCTAGAAAACAGTTTTAAACGAGGAGGAAACACAATATGCAACGGAAATGACTTCAGTGAAGCAGATGAGGTGTCACAAGAGTCCAAAGGGAAATAAGAGTGAGCTTATTAAAGAGGAGGCAAAAGGCACCCCCTCCCGTTCTCACCTGCCCTCAGGGTGAACGAAGGTGAGTGGGTGACAGTCTTAACCTCCACGGATGTCTCTCCTGGGGTCCACACCTTCAGTAGACCTCTCCGCTGAGGCAAGCTCCCGGGCCCCAGAGCCAAAGCTGAAGCCTTCCCCTTTCCTCCCTCACCTCCCAAACCTGCCCTCTTCTGCTTGTTTCTGCTCCTATAGATGTTGTCACCACCACCCCTAATCTGAGCTGCGAACCTGGAGTCATCCTAACCACCACTCTCTGGCATTGCCCAAGCAGGCAATCACGACTGCTGGCTCTTCCTCACCAGCGCCTCGGATGCCGGCCCACTCTTTTCCGTCCCTGTAGTTCAAGCTTCATCACTGCGCCCTGACCTTGCCCCCCTGCTACTCTGCCAGTGGGGGGCACGCAGTCCACTCAGGTTATCCCCTGCTCAGAAACACCTGACGGCCCTCCGCTGCGAAGACAGACAGACAAACCAAACACGAGGCCCAAACTTCAGACCTCCATTATTTCACTCCAATCTCACGCACAGCCCGCTCCCTCTCTACCCTGGACTCTAGTGGCCTCGGATGCCGCCAAACTGAGCTACTTCTGTGCCCCCACATACCGTGCGGTCACACATCTCCCAGACCCTGTACAGTGAGGTCGTGAGGTCTTTATTCTCTGGGCCTCGAATGCCCAGCTCCTTCTTCACCTGTCAAAATCACAGTTGTCTTTCAACTCTCAGCTCAAGCTCACAGCCTCTGAGTATTTAATACAACAAAGATCAGGGTCCACAGCCAGACAGACCGGGGTTGAGGTCACTTACAAACTCTGACCAGTTTCCTCGTCTGTAAATATCTGCCCAGGCTGTGGACTCTCTCCGAAAATCCCACTCCTTCCTCTGGCCGGACAGCTGCTCTGACACTCCCTCCACCTCAGCTTTCTGCACTGCACCCTGTGTAATGTCCAGAGCGTGGGGACGTGCTACCTACCCTCTGCAGAGCACAGGGCTTTCTGCGTGAGGCAGGCAGGGGCCTCCCTCCCACCACCTTCCTTACTACACCACACGGCCAACATGCCAGAGCCTGCTTTCCCAGACCCCGGCACAGCTAGAACACGGCCAGGGGCCACTTCCGGTCAACGAGACCCGACGGGAAGCCTGCTGGAGGCTTCTGGGAGAGGTTTCTCACCCGGATGAAAAGAGCAGAGCAGGGGGAAGCCCCACCATCTTCGTCCCCGTGCTTTGGACACTGTCCTGAGAGGATGTGGTATTATAGTGACTGCGGCCATCACAGATACTAACTCCAAGCCCTGCTATCATTTCACGGAGTCATTAAACCTGCCTTGGAACTGCCTGCATCCGCATTTCTTGTTACGGAAGACAACAGAAACCCCCATTGTTTACACCGGTTTTTCCTCACATTCTGCTCTCCACAGCTGAAAGCATCCTGGTCCACAAAGGATTCCCTGTAACGTTCAAACTCCCCGTAAGGAAGCTATGACATCAGGCTTCCCAGAAGCCAATGTTCCACAGTCTTTCTGCACGACAGCACTCCCCTTCCTCGGGTTAATGACTCACAAATCATAACGTCGCATCATTTTTTCATTCACATATGTCTCTCCCCTATGAACTCTGCCGTCTTTGCAGAGACACCTGGGGTTGAATCATGGCTCTGGCTTCTTAATGGCTGTATGACCTCAGGTACGTCATACAACTCCACGAGCCCAATAAAAATGATCAATGTTGTTATTATTACTGCTATTACCGTTTGTATTAATATCATGACTGATGATAGGCTAGAGCCCAAAACGGGACCAAACAGCCATCTGGACGAACAGGAAACATTCTGCAGAAGAAGTCTGCTCTGACCACAGCTAGCGTGGTCGCTTCTCAAAGGGAGACCCAGGCCAGAGAAGGGCTCCTGACAGAGCCCGAGCCAGCGGGGTCCAGTGCTGAGGTAAGAGGTCAGTCTTTCCTCTGAAGGCATCACTACCAGCTCCCCGTAACTGGTGACAAGCTACCACGTGAGATGACAGTTTTAACAATATTCCACCTCCAATCACAAGGAGCCAGGCCTTTCTCAAAGCGGCTCCCAAGATGAACGACTCACAGCAGGGGGGAGGCGGAGCCACTTTTCTTTCTTTGTCTTTTCAGAGATTGTGAAGACAAGGTGAGAACAGCGCCTCTTTCCACCAGCCACCAGCGTAAATACTTTATGAATGCCTTTTTTGTAAACCTTCCCATCAGAGTGAATTACTCTGCAGAGCAACTGCCAGCTCCGTTGTAGCTGGTGGCCATGTGAGCCCCCAAATAATTCTATAATTGGATTTGCCAGGAAAAATGTAAAACAGAATGAATCTAATTCAGGCATTACCAAGAGTGAATGTGAAGGGTCCAGGCATGTATTTCTTCCCAGGGTTTGATAGGACTAATAACTCAGGTTAATCAATTTCTCTGGGGGTGAGAGACAGGGAGGGAGCAGGATGGGGGGTGGTGTGGAGAGTGGGGGAGGGAGGGAGAGGGAGGCATGGGTGGGTCCACTCTGTTTATCTCGCACACCGCAGCACATACAGTACTCTGGAAAGATCCTTCCAGGCTGATGGCTACGACAGACCAGGGGTCCAAGGACTCAAGTGCTCCTATGGAGTTCATCTTTCTAGAACTCCGTGATTTAATCTCTAAAATCGTTTGCATCCCCCCTTGTTGCTGAGCTTTGCAATGTCCAACTAATAACGTTGTACAAAATAAAATAGTGAAAGAACATGATAATGGCAAAGAAAACAACCACGTCTTGAGTGAGGCACAGAGCAACGCCCTATTCAGAGCACTGCCTTATCGAAATCTCACGATGACTCTGTTTTGTACAATAATGAAAGCCGGGAGAGGTGGGGTGGCTTGCCCCAAAGCCCCCCAGCTGATACACGGAAGAGGCCGGGGTCCACACTCAGCTCAGTCCATCTCCCAAGCAAACTCGGGCTCTTTCCCAGGGCACAAAGCTGCTCCCAAGGCACATTCTTCAGGTACGACAACAATCTCTTTGGAGCAACAAGGAAAGATGTCCAAAAATATTCTGTTCAAGGAAAACAGGGACAGGCATAAAGTATTCTACCTTGTGGGCGAGGGAAAGAGTAAGAAGATATATTTGCATTTGCACTGAAAAACCACTGTAAGGTTGTGGAAGACACCTACCAGACGTGGGAGGAGAGGAGCCAGGAGAGGATGGATGGGCACAGAACGGAGGTACTAAGTTCTGTACCATGTGAATGTCTTCCCTACGGAAAAACCCATTTTTAAGTTCCGCATGGAAGAATATTCCATTCAGATCTAACTGTGTTTACGCAGGAATAATGGCGACCTGGGAACGGGCGTGTGAGACTCTCACCAAACTGCCTACACGCTAATACTCTTTAAAATCCATTACTGACAAAAAGACGAAACGCCGCTCTTTTATTTTAAAACCCCCTATCTGTTTCTCTACAGCCACCGACGTCACATGAAGAGCCAAGCACAATCCAGGGTGCAGGGGCCGGCGGACTCGCTCAGTGCCTGGGAAGTCACTCCATGCCAGGGACCGTGCGGGCACCCTGCTGACGTTAGCTCACTCAATCCTCATCGTACCAGGATAAAACGGGGACTATCGTCCCCACGTCATGAACACAGTACTGTAAGTAACACGTTACAGTATTTCCGCAACGTTAAGTGAGGTCACCGTGGAGGTGAGCGGCGAGGTCAGGATTTGAGCGGAAATCTCTCTGGCCACCGGGGTGAGTTCTCCCCAACACGGGGAAAGCTTATCCAGGCAAACGTAACCGGAGTCCCTTCCCGGATGAAGCACAGGCAGGCTGGCGACAAGGTCCTCCCTTACCTTGATCAAATTCACACCCTTGCCTTTCCAGTTGTCCCCGAAGTTTCTCGTTTGTTTTGATTGATTCTTCTAAACGTCTCCTCAAGCTTCGAATTTCTTGTATATGTTCCATTACTAAGTCTACGGGAAGGAGAGTATTTTTAATTTAAAGTCTGAAGCCCCCAACAAATGGAATAATTTACAGATTATGCCACGATCTTGAAATTCTAAATCGTGCGGGATGTGTTGAGTCAGTCAGTAACTGGCGATTTTTTCCCAGGCGTGGTGACCACAGCCCACAGACACAGCTCTGTAATGATTCTCTGCAGCCCTCCACAAGGAGGGGGCTTTACAGCACATGGAAAAATTATATTCCATACAATTTTAATGCTAGCTGTAATACAGCCCTTTATTCTTCTAAATATCAAATATTAATTTAAAATCTTCCTTATGGTGAAACTAACAGATCACTTTCAAGTCTGCCTGAATTGCCTGAGAGTTGATTAAACTACCTTCATAATGAATCCAGATATTTTTGAGACTAATTCTCTGGAAGGAATATATTTATCCATTTGCCACTTACTAATTTAAGACTTAAACACAAAGCAAAATGATAATCCCAGTGCTAGTGAAAGTTGTAAGGAGGGTACTCTCAAGGGCACATCCTGTTCGTGTGAATATAAATGTGCGTGACTTTGGGGAACTATTTTTATCATTAGCCGTAGAAGGGTTCTTTTCCAATGTCTTTCCCCAAATAAGCCTACTTCTAGGAATCTATTCAAAGAGATCACCAGACATGCTGACAACCATGTGCCAGAATGCATGAAAATGTTAATCTTCAGCACTATACGGAGCACTTAAAACTGAAAATAACTCAGATTATTAAGTAAGCTGTGTTACATCCACCGTGATGCAATATGACACAGCTACTGAAATTATATCATGAGGACCATGTAATATCGCAGAAAAACACAGATACAAAATGGATTAGCCAGCACAATTATAACTCTATTTAAAAGTTTACAGACAGAAAAGACACATAAACACACAAAAAAGAAAAGATACCTAAATATTGACAGCAGTTGCCTTTGGGTGTTAGATTTCAGGTTTCTCAAAACTTCTACACTGTATCTCAATATAACATTTAATAAGATGTAAAAATTTAAATTTCCCAAATGTTCTAAACTGAGCATGTCCTATTTTTCTAGCCTCTGCCACATCTCACTTGAACAAAGAAAGGAGGAGACACAGTTGCAATCTCGAGGTACACTCTAGAATCAGGATCTAAAGCATAACCACATTAGGTATCCAAAGGCAAAACTAATGTCTTTAATTCATCAATTAGGGTACACTCAGTGTGTCTTAGTAATGTTTGTTTTAAAACATTGCACTAATGTTATGACCCAGTTTTAATTCCTCCAAAATGACTTTCATTTAAAAGTAGCACCATGTTACAGATCTTTTCCTAATTAAATAGTAATTCTGCCATGAATCTGAATGTTTATGAGGTGACTTAATTCCCGGGCCTTCAGCTATCTCGATTAATGCCCGAAGTGTGGCCAGTCATCTGGTGGAACGTGCGAGGCCCTCGCCGCAGCCCGCAGCCGGGGGAACCCGTCTGCAGCCAGGTCCTGGCGGCACCTCCCGTCCCTGCCTGGCTGCCTCGCAAATCTGCCGGCGGCCAGTCAGGACGGAGTGAGGCGGGAACTTCTCTATTTCCACCGCAGTCCTCCACTCGGGTTTAGATCTGCATCACCCGCTGCCGGCTTCTGGGGTAACAGCGCTTGGCAGCCATGGGCCCGCGTCACCTCCTGCTGAGTCTGGCCAGGGGCTGGAAGCATCGCTGGGGCTTAAGGAAACATTCCCAGTCGAACTGGACACCACGTATTAATTATGCAGCCCTAACCGAGAGAGGGAAACACGACACTCATCTTTACAAAACGGGAGAAAAACAGCTGTCCCTCTTACAACTAATATCCTTCTGACGAACGTGAACTCTTTAAAGCCAAAAATCCTGCAAGGAGCAACCGCTAAAACCCGCGTGTGCATCTTTGGCCTCGTGTGGTTCCACTTCACAGAATCGAGGAGAAGAAAATGCCCCAAAATAAGGAGAAAGAAAGCTTCGTGTTCAAAGATACTCCCTTGCAGCCGTGTTCGTAACTGTGGAATTTTAGAAAGGACTGGAATGTTCAGCAACGGGGGAACATAAGGAAAACTGCAGTTCAGCCATTCAACGGACTATATTCTAAAGCCACTAAAAATGATGTTATGTAACAACATGTCAGAAAGCTTATGATATAATGTCAAGTGAAAAAAGGAAAAATCCTTAAATTATCTCTCTACTTAGAATAAAAACACGACAAAAGGAAAAACAGATGCAGAGAGCAAAAGTCTGAAGAGAAGCAGACCAAAAAAGCTAAAAGTGAAGTGTATTAGGAGGGCTCCAGAGAACACTGTCCCCATTCAGGAAAGTGCTTGGTAAATTTCACCGGGAGGGCATGATAAGCCCAAGGTCGGGGGTGCCCAGAATAATGAGACGTAAAGGAGATGCCTAAACGGTTCTATATTGGAAATAAACCAAGGTTGGCTGGGGGGGGGGGGGGGGGCGCCCATGGGGGGTGGGAGGGAAGGAAAAAAGAGGGGCAGGCGAGAGAAAGCAGAGAGAGGTACCCAGCACCATATCAGATGGGTTTGAAAGAACAGAGATCTCAAATATTCCCATTAAATGATCTGGCCTGCTGCGCTGTAACCCCCCACTGCCTTATAATTCCTCAAGCCCTCAATCAAGTATGTTTCTCCCACAAAGGCCTTGCAGGAGTCGATTCGGGGGTTCTTGGAAAGGGAATGAGTTCCATGCCAGGTTGATACAGTACAGAAGGAAGTGCGAATAAGGACAAGGAAACAACTCATAGGTCTGACCCAAATCAGCAGAAGGCAGATCAAAGAGCCAGAAATAACTGAGAGAGACCTAGTACACAAGACTCACAGAAGTCACACAGGGATACAGCCAGAGATCCAAAGAAGGCACATCTAGGTAACTGGCTACTAGAAGAACCCAGGTAACACCTCAGTTATATCACACGTGTATATTCCACGCTCCAGGTATGTTTTCAGACTGTGCTCCTCTGGGCTCGGGGTATCCTAGAGAAGCCTCAGAAGCCACCAGGGAGGATAAAGGCTCTACCTGCAACCCTTTCACATGTTTGGCCTCCGTGTAAAGTTTCATCTGAAAAAAAGGGGGGTGGAGCTCTGTTGCTAAAAAAGATTTTGATTTTCGAAAACCGCGTTCTATGTGATCAGGTGTCAACAAAGGGCTTTTAGAATGGAGGTGCCAATGTCTGATTCGTGCTCTGGGTCCACTCTGGGTGTCTTGCAAACCACCACTGGAAGAAAGGAGAGACCAGAGAATGTCAGCTGAGGTCCAGAACGTATACCAAGGGTCAGAAAACCACAGCTCCTAGGTCGAACCCACCTACCACCTGTTTTGGTAAATAAAGTTTTATTGGAACAGAGCCACACTCGCTCATTTACGTTTTGTCTATGGCTGCTTTCTGCTACAACAGGATTGAGTAACTACAACAAAGACCATATGCTCCCCAAAGCCCAAAATATTTACTATCTGGCCTTTGCCAGGAAAAATTTGCCAATCCCTGGTCTATATTATCCCTTGAACTTCGGAAATACATTGACTTATAAACATGAATCCCTCCCGAACACCCAACAGGAGGCAATGAAGACTGTAAATGCAGAAGAGGTAAAAGGGAGCGCGGGTAGATGGAGGCTTGGGAGACTGATTCTACCGACTGAGCCTGTGGGCCACAGTCAGAGGCAGGACAAGGGACTGAGCCGAAGGATGAAGGGTCACACACTAAAGGGAAATACTGCAGACTGACATAAGTACAAAATGTTCAAATGGTGGGCGGGGGGGGGGGGGGGGGGGGGGCAGGGGGCGTTAGGTGCTCTGGGGAATCTGTACGATTCAAAGCAAGAGTCTTCAAAGCGACAGTGCCTCGGAAAGCGTCTGAAAGGAACACCAGGAAATTAACCACACTTGGAACAGACACATAACCTCTACTTTCCAGCCTGTTTTCTGCCACTGTCAGAAGCACGAGGAAATGGCAAATCACGTAATAAGTCATCATTAAGAAATAAAAATGACTCTTCCCCAATCACCAACACTTTCAACGACCGCAGCTTTCCCTGGTGATAAATGACAGTCTGAATGACCAGCTTTGGCCCTGCCAGGATCTCCTTTCATCAGACAAATATTCGAATGTCACTACGCTCTGCTTACTCAGGCAAGACGGCAAATTACTGTTTAAACCAGGAAACCTTGGCCGCATCTGAAGTGCTTAGCAAAGCTCAGCTTACCTTGAGAAAAATGGTTCGCCATTACCGAGGTCCTCCCGGTCTCACTGCCTTGCTTCTGGTCTCGTGAGAGGCCGGAGGACTTCTCGGACATTTCACAGTCGGACAACGCGTGAGAGGCAGAAGGCTCAGGAGACTCAGGCAGGATGTGTTGGTAGGTTAAATTGTCTTCCTCAATCCTTGACCATAGGGATTGAAAGAGAAATCGTTTCCCACACTAAGATTCCAAGCCAGGACCATGACTTGGGAACAAACACTTAAGATCACTTGGCCCCTTGTAATTTCCCCGTATTTACAACTTTGTTTTGGAGCCCTTTTGCTTCCCCAGAGCAGTTTTTAGTGAGGACGCTCTAAAAACAAAAAGCACTCCGTGGGCTTGAGTCTGGAGCCAGTGAAGGGGGAGCCACTACGTGGCTTATGGGGAGGGAGCCTAAGAAAGAGCACGGGTCAAAGGCAGCTGCTTATCGAGGGCTCCCTCTGTACCAAGCATGTTAGATGCACTACCTTACCTGGTCCCCACAGAAACCCTCTGAGGCAGGGACGACCATCCTCATTCAGAGCTGGGGAGACTGAGCCGCATCACAAGCTTGCTCACTGTCTCACAGCTTCTTAGTGGCAGAGCTCACACTTGAACCCAGGACTGTCTGGCTCTGGGACCCCAGGAGAAAGTGGGAGGCCACCTCAAACCCATGAAGAGGCCTTATGGGTTTAAAACTCTCAAAACCCTCACGGCCTCCAAGCAGGTCCCAAAACCACCACTCTGGCAATCATCTGGTTATTAACCTGTATTTGCCAAGAGCCACCTGAGCCATAAAGAAGAACACCCTGAACTCTGCGAAAAGCCCACCTGAGTCTCCATTATAGATAAGCTCCTTAATTTAAGCTCTTTTTTTTCTCCCACTTTTTCCTATTACTTCTTGTCTCATTATTCATGAGCTCAGACAAGAGCAAAGGACTCCGGAGCTGCCACGCATTCATTAACAGGTAAACACCAGATGCAACTTCGCCCAGACAGTGTGATGGACGCACGGGCTTGTCGCTGCCTTGCCAAAGTGCCGAATGGGCCACGGGCACCCATTTAATTAGCTTAGGAGTGACCCGTGTGAGCGCTAAGCCTACAGCTGAAGAAGGCAGAACAGAAGGAAAAGAAACAAACCTGTTGGAAACGGGAAGGGTGACACATGGTTAAGGGGGCTGAAAGAGGCTCCATGCACCACCCCCCTCCCCACCCCACCCCTCCCCCGCCCCGCCCCGCAGCCCATTCTCCAAGTAACCACGGGCGTCTTTCACAATAGCAAATCTCTTGCCTGGCCCCAGCTTACCCTCCTTCAAAGACTCCCCTCTTCCTGCAGCACAGAATCTGCGCTCTTAACAGAGAATCTGAGGACCAGTCCAGCAAGGCCCTGCCTGTCCTCTGGCCTTGACCCTTACGTTCCCGGCACCAGCTCGCAGGGCCACGTCTCCCTCGCCTCGCACACGGACACTCTCCGGCAATCCCTGCCCCTGGCCTCATCCTTTAGCTCTCAGTTACGACAGCCTCCACCCTGGAGGCCTTGCTTGCCCTCTCCACAGCCCGCCACTGCAATGTGATCCGTTATTAGAAGAATGGGAGCGGAGGGTCGAACCGGGAGGGATCTGCAAAAATACTACAGTGGGAAAGGAGTTTTCTTCCGAACTCACAGAAGCTCTGATTAAAACATCCTCCGGTGAGCGGTGATGCCTCCCCACCTGCTCACTCTGATGATGTGGTCTTCAACATGCCCATAAAATCTACAGTTCTGCACCCCAGACATCTTAGCCCCAGAAGCCCAAAGGGTCGCTGCTCCAAAGAGGAGGGAAATACCCATAGCACTAACATCAGTCAGAACCTCTAACCAGTAAACAGAGGAGGACGACACCTTGACCCTCCCTGTGGGCCATCGAGGTAAACTGAGAAAGTATACATTTATTCCATGAGCGTCTTGTGAACTCCAACTATACGCTACACACTTGGGGCTGGAATTTGAGACACAGTCTCTGTCCCCAAAAAGGCAATTTGCGGTAATAAGACCTCAGGAGTACGACAGACTCAGGTTCAAACTCCAGCTCTGCCTTCTCAAGGCAAGCATGCAACTCTGACCCTCAGGTTCCTCGCCCTAAAATGGCAACAACAATGCTTGCCTCCTAGGGTCAGAAGTAATGAACACGAATGCCTAGAGCAGCAGCGGACACACGCCAACACCCGGTTATACGCTAGCCGCTTTCCCGTTCCGGGGAATTCTGGGAGCGGGAAGGTAAATGCAGGAAGCGTCACATCGCCATGTGGTAAGTGCTGCAATGTGACGATGTGCCAAGTGCTACAGGAAGAATCGCTGAGCCCGGGAAGTCGTAGAGAGACGGGGGCGCCGGGGAGAGCCAGGTTCATCGCCACGAACGCCGACTCTGCTGAAGGACTTCCAAACTACAACAGGAAGAAGTCGAGCATACGGCTCGTGTCCAGGCACAGGCTGGAGGACAGCAACAGGTCCGATAAGACCGCAGCACGGGGAACATGACAGAAAGAAAGACGGGTCAGACCGAGGAGGGCCTCAAGTGTCAGGCTGAGGCATGTGACGTTTAGCCTGCAGGTACCCAGGGGCCGACAGAAGGAACGTGTCGTCCCAGTCACAGACCCTAACAGAGAAATGCCACGAGTGACCTAAAACGACTGACTGAAGGCTGCGGGAAACACAGCGTAAACTGCTCGCTTTGCGAGGGCACCGTCAGTTTCACAGCTGTTTACGCTTCGCGTACAAGAGGCAGGGGACTCACTGAACGGGAGGGAGCCACAGTGTACCCAGCAGACCGACCAACCGCTGTCTTCTTCCCGAACGCCACACACTCACCTCTCCATCGGTTCATCCTGGGTGCTCATTTCCACTTCCACCGATTTCCCTGGAAGCAGAAAGAACATCAAGAAGAAGGAAAACATTAAAAAACAAACAAACAAACAAACAAACCCCAAGTGATCCCTAATAATCTCTGACTCATACATCCGCAGAGGCCCTGTTCCATTTGTTTAAACACTTTTTCTAACAATCCCGGGTATTTAAAGTAGGATGACCGAGAACCCGTTCAGACCACAGGCTCCTCCTTCATCACTGCTCTGGCACCAGTTCTGGAGGGACAGGACAGCCCTGAATCTAAAAAGCGATCACAAAGGCACTGCTGGGTGCATGCTCTTTGTCCTTCTCTAAAACTCTCAACACAATATATCCTCATTACAGGAAGCGGGTAACAGAGACAAGAAAAAGAACATGACCGTCCTCCAGGTACCTACAACAGACATGCCGTGGACTTCCTTCCATCCTTTTTTTCCACGCATTTTGGCCTGGGTGACGCTGCACTGGGGCTTAATTGTTTTCCCTTCGAATTTTATTATTAGAAGCATTTTTCTTACTGAATTTGCTTCAGAAACGTAAGTTTTAATGGCTGCATTAATATTCCACTGTAGGCATGCATGTACCAGTTTCTGCCGGTCCCTTTATTTGACATTTAGGTCATCTCCGATTTTGCACTTTTATAAGTAAAGGAAATACACATCTTTGTACATACAGCTTTATCTGCATTTAAATGATTTCCTCAGGAAAGACTCTCAGAAGTGGGATTAGCAGGCAGAGGAGTATGTGAGTGCAGCTGAGTAAGCCAGCGCCTGCAGCAGGGGAATGACTACAAGAAATGGGGAAAGACAACAAAATAAAGCTCGAAACGTAGCTGGGAAGAAGACGCTCGGCTCCCCCTGCACGGCCCCGTTTGCTGTCTGAAAGGAAACACGGGAGCCCAGATTTCAAAGAGACTAACAACTTCATGTTAAAAATACTTCAGAACTCTGGAAATTGCAGCCTGGGATGAGCTCTTTGAAGAAGCTAACGTGTGGCTAAAGGAAAAAACAAACCCTTCTGTGGCCGTACTTGAAACATGAGACTATAATTAAAGTGCACCCACACATACCATTTTCAAAACTACTCCTAAAAGGGAAAGTTCTCGAACACCACAGCGCAGAGGAAAGGAGCACCCGGAGCCTCGCGTGTTTGCCTCGTGCCTTGTGGTCCCCACCGTGTGCTCCCGGGGCCAGCTGGTGTTGCTCTCGGGGCCCCCTCAACACCCCAGCAGCACAGCCACGGGCACTGAGAGCCAGCACGACGTCCCGAGGGCTTGAGGGTCACCTGCCATGGCATGGCATCAGCGGGCACCGGAAGAGGGCCAGCCAGGCCCCCGAGATCAGGTGCCCGGCCCCAAAGATGGCTCCGGATGACACTGACCCCGTCCGGAACAGTGGCAGGACTTCCACTGTACAGAAAAGAGGTGCAAATCCAGAAGGTGTGATGGGACCCCTCTTACTCTGCTCAACTCACACTCGATCACCTACTTGAATACATGCTCCAGTGAAGCAAAGGATTCAGAGATACTCCAGAGCTAGCTCAACCACAAAACTAGGTCTTGATCCTCTTGGTTACATCCTGATCAAAAATGCAGTGACACTGTGGCTCCCCAAAAGACAGAGAGAGGTTGACAGGCCCCTACCACAGTGGACGGGTTCCACCTTTCTGTCTTCTACATTCCTGGTCAAGAGGGGAAATATCCATTTGACAGGTCTATTTCCAAGACGCTGACTTGCAGTCCCGGGCGGCAAGACCCCCGTAAACGGGCAGCGACAAGTGCTGTTAGAAGAACAACTCGGCATTTTCCACCTGCACAGGGCTGCTTACCAACATTCAGCCGGTAAGATTATGGCCCTAAAACCCTGAGGATGGCCCATCTGCCCAGCCCGGCCCTCCAAGGGGCTCAGCAGTCTACACGTACCAGCCTAGCACACGATAGCATCACAGCCTGCCTCACCGTGCAATCGCCCTCCAGGAGCACAGACACACACCTCGGAAACCGCACAGGGCAGGGTACCACTGGTCGGGGGCAGGCTTTAAGCACGCTGGGACTTCCGACCAAAAATTCATCTTGTAACTATCAAAAAAACAAAACAAAAAAAAAAAAACCCAAAAACAACAACAACAAAAAAACGCCTCTCCTCAATTCCTTAATAAAATCCACGACCACAGAAGGAAGTGTCCTGAGACCACCCAAAGCACGAGTTTCTGTCTTCAAACAGGACGTCCTTCGAGGAGTCTGTAAGGACTCAACAACTGTATCCTGCCCATTCCCCAGCCACAACAGAGTTCTTTAAAACCAAACGACAAATGGTTAGCGTGGGAGTCACAGGGACGTCATTACGAGTGGTGCGGTGAACTTTGCGGTGGAAACCGCTCCACACAGGTGACAGGTACCATCTGTCCGGCTGTTCCAACAGCTTAGGGAGCGTGGCATGAAGGCACCGCTTCCATCTTTCAGGCAAATCTTACCGCTACGCCTAAAAGCTGGGTCGTGGCGGGGGCCTCACCTTGTCAAATAAAAACGCGTCTAGTCACCCGCTCCACATGTGAACACGAGAATTATCATGCGGGACCTGCAGGACTGGCCGACCCGCCCTCCTCCCTGCACCGGTCCATCGCGTATGCTGCCTCCATTTGAGAGGCCTCTTTTGAAACAGGACTCCTTCGCTCAAAGTCCATCGGTCGTAGAGAACCCGGTTCAAATATCATAGCCTGGCATGTCCTCCACGGCCCAAATGTTTCTTCCTTTCCGTCCACCAGTAATTTGTAGAACGTGCTTACACTCTCCCCCCGGTGCCCGTGCTGGACACTGAGGATACAGAGATGACTGAGGGGCCATCCGACCCTCAATGAGTTCACAGCTGAGTGGGGACAAGAGACCCAAAAGACAATTACACTACTGAGCTGTGACAAGGGACAGCACAGGATACCACGGGAGGGCGCACAGAAGAAATGAACATGACCCAGCCTGGACCATCGGGGCAAATTTAGAGGAGGTAATGACAGACAGATATTTGAGGCAGGAAAGGACTGCTGTATGAAGATAGGAAGCAGCTAAGGCGCTACGTGGAGGGCAGATCCCAGGGCTACTTAGGAGGAAAAATGTTCCATTTTACCGGACAGCCTGGTTCACCATGCTAACTCGACCCCGCATGCCCATTACGGCTCCCAAAATACCTCTCCCCATCAACTATGAATCCTTCCAATATGGAATACCCCTCCAATACCCCTTCCTCCTGGAAGACTTCCCTTCCAAGCTCAGAGATACCTCTCCCTCCAGGTCCCTACTATGCGGGTCAGACAGAGTCAGACACAGAATGGAAGGGAGCCCCAGCGTAAGATCCAAACCACACAAAACTAGCAGTATTGCCCTCAAATCCTGACTGGGCACTACATGTATGGCCCCGGCCTAGTTTGGAAGGCCGGGACGAGACGAGGCCCCCGTCTTCCAGGAGTTTATGCTCTCAAGAAATAAAATATGCTCACGAGAAATCACTGCTGTCACCTCCTGAGCTCCCAAGATTGGTCAGGCAGGATACAGACACTTGAAATAATCTCATTTAATCCTCAGAAATAACTCCGTGAGGCAGGTAGTATTCCCTCACAGAGGAAATCTGACCGTGAAAGGGATAAGAGAACCATAAAGCTGAGATCTGAACTCAAGTCTGTCTGGCTCCAAAGGGTCTGTTCTGTCCACCCTGGCAGAATGTCCTTCACAAGGCCGGACGTAATTGTCATGTGCAAGCTACGAACAACCCAGAATAAAAAACCAAACAGTTTTGCTTCCACCTGGGGTGAACAAAGAAAGCTTCCTAGAAGCTTTCTAGAAGGGAAGAGACAGTGAAAGCCTGCTAGCAAAGGGAGTGGTTTGAACAAAGTCCCAGTAGTGGGGAGTTGTAAGCAAGGCCCACAGCACAGAGGTACAGACCAGATACCCAAAGTGACAAGAGTGTGGGAAGTACCACATCATGGCGGTCAGGAGGTCAGGCTGTGGAAGCAAACTGCCTGGGCTCAAATCCAGACCCTGCTACACCTAGTGAGCCCTGAGCCAGTATGTTAACTTCTCTGTTCCTCGTTTCTTAAATGAAGATGATGGGGGCGCTGGGTGGTTCAGTCAGTTAAGCGTCCGACTTCAGCTCAGGTCACGATCTCGGGTCCGTGAGTTCGAGCCCCGCGTCGGGCTCTGTGCTGATGGCTCAGAGCCTGGAGCCTGCTTCGGATTCTGTGTCTCCCTCTCTCTCTGCCCCTCCCCTGCTTGCTCTCTGTCTCTCTCTCAGAAATAAACGTTAAAACAATTTTAAATGAAGGTGATGAACCGTACCTTCTCCTAGGCTGAGAACAATGCCTAGCATACAACATGCAGCTGCTAAAGACCAGCCTTCCTCATGGTTTCCCCATCATCATCATCACCAACACCACCACCATCGAGACGGTAGTGGGCTAGACAAGGCAGACTGTGGGAGGCCTTGAAAGTAATGAACAGTTTAGGTTCTTCCTGCAGGCAGAGGAGAGTCAAGAGAAAGGACCCCAGCGGCTGCCTTCTATTCATGTGGCTAAACCCTGACAAACCTGGTGAGCTGGTGGAGGAAAGAGGCTACCTCACCATCTCCTACCATCCTCCCCAGTGCTTACTCAGACATTCCTGGCGACAACGCCGTCTTCCTCATTTACGCTACTGGCCTTGGGGGGCACTCTGGACGAGGACACGGTGGAAAACCTGGGACTGCAACCCCGGTTCTCGATCTACTTTGGCTCCCAACCCACTTTTATTTATTTATTTTTTTTTTTAATTTTTTTTTTTTTCAACGTTTATTTATTTTTGGGACAGAGAGAGACAGAGCATGAACGGGGGAGGGGCAGAGAGAGAGGGAGACACAGAATCGGAAACAGGCTCCAGGCTCTGAGCCATCAGCCCAGAGCCCGACGCGGGGCTCGAACCCACGGACCGCGAGATCGTGACCTGAGCCGAAGTCGGACGCTTAACCGACTGCGCCACCCAGGCGCCCCCCC